CTCGTCAATTTATATTTAACGATGATTGTCGAATTTGCTTGCAATTTCAGATTCTCTTCCTATTAGAAAATTTTCAATATGTTACTCTTGTTACTATCAGGAAGGAAGAATACTCCTACCATTCGGTTAGTTTACAGTATGAAGTGCTGCATCGTGGCAAGTTCAGTAGTCCTATATCTTCTCTACGACTAAACCTATCTGTAGCTCTGGACAGAAAGCTAATCTGACACAGAGTTCTTGCACTCAATTACTTGGACTCCCCATACATACTAATTGATCACAAGAGCAGGTCTATGTCACAAGGTAGTCAGCATACTATCGGACGAGTGATACGAGGCAAACAGTGGTCGGTGACTTGTTTAGAATCATTCCATGTCTGATGATATTAAGGTTTGAATGTAGTACCTTCTGAATGTATGTCGAACAACATAGCCACTCAACCATGGCAGTCTATTACTATCAGAGAACGCCATATGACATGTGTTCTGCATATGCAGAATACAACATCTAAATTACTTCATTGATCGTGATTCAATGAAGTTCTGGTCTAGTAATGAAATTCGTCGTAATTTCTCATTATTATCAATAGTAGATAGGAGAGTAGTTGCTATGCCAGCGACTATTGGATTCGGTGAAAGATTATTTAGTTGATCTGTGTTGACATTTACTCAAAGATACACACGTTTATCACCAAGTCAAATTGATAATATATATTATTTATTTGTGTTACTAAAATGTCGATTCCAAAACAGAATTAAATTTTTCGGACAGCTCGCTTTCTATTAAAGGAACTGTTCGAGTTATAGTTCATTCATTGTTGGACGAAATATTTGAAATAAAGCAGTAGTAGAATGAGGCTTGAAAAACAGAACGGTTTTTCATCTATTCTAAGTTTAAATGTAAGAAGTTTTGTCAAGTTATAACACAACATCCAAAAAGAAAGAGAGTTTCTATCAATGTAACTCAAAAATATGCAGTGAGTTTGTTGCACAGATAGCTACATCATAGATTTACAGCATATACTTAAGTTGACGTTGCAAAAAAAAAAGATATAAATTGAGATTTGTTACTAAACTATCAAACAGAAATAATCACTGAATCCTGCTCAAATATCAACAAGTTAATAGAATCTAATTGAGTAGCACAGTAGTCGCCAAAAATCCTGCTATCAGGTAAAAGAGCTAGAAGGTCAACACAGATTTTTTTTCTTCAGACGAGGATATCTCAACATAAAACACATTCACGAAGGTATATGCAAAACAAAGTCGCCAAACTTTTATCACGCTCGACTTATGCTTCATTGAATTATGTAAGTGTTTCTTTACGAAAACAAAAATGAATAAGACAAGATTAATTTACTCGATATCGTTTAAGTAATTTTTGTAAAGTTTCTCTATTATTAATAGGTGCACCATGATCATCATCCAATAAACGTTTAATTGCATCAATAAATAAAGTTATTTCTTTACAAGCTTGTCTTGATGGTAAATTATTAATAATATTTTGATGAAGAATTTGTTCACTTCGTAAAATATCTCTCTATAATAAACAAAAAACATAATTATTATTATTATTATTATGATTATTTTACTTTAAGTGATGTCCATTTACGATGAAAACTTTCTAATGGTGCTTCAGTTGATTGTAAATCATATAAATTATAAGTTGCTAAACGTTTAATTAATGGTTCTGTGTTCAAATAAACATCTCCAATACTTTCAAGACGTTTTTCCACTTCCTAAAAATAATTAATTAAGAAAAAAAAAACAAAATCAACAAATTATTTTTACCATCATTCGTTCTAATTGAACTTTCATTTCACTCATATCTCCATCATATCTTGTTCGTGATTCAATTGAACATTGACTTAATACATCTTCAAGATTAGCTAAATTACGTTTTATATCATTAACAATAACAGTTGCACTTTTATGACTAAATAAAAGAAATATTTTGAGAGAATGATAAAAACTAATTGAATAAAAAAAAACATTAATTTTACCTATGAAATTTTTCTCGAAGATCATTTGATATTCTAATAAAATTATCTTTTACATTTTGAATATCATTTTCTAATGAAACAACATTTTATTCTTTACAAAGATTTTGTATTTCATCATTTAAATGTAATAATTCTGGTTCAATAACAACTAAACGTTGTCTTAAATCCTACAAAAAAGACAAGGTTATTTAAACAAAGAGCTGTTCGTGCAATTCATGCGAGATTAAAATCTAAAACACGATGTAGCTGCTATTCCTCATCACAAGAGGATTGTTTTATTTAATCCATTTCCTTCAGAAATTCAATATGGTAGCAGTTCATATATTATAACAAGACGTTATTTCTATACGGTCTTGCATTGTATATGAACAACGTCTGTCACAATCTATAATGATCTCTACCTACGTAGTATCTGTCATGGTCCGTGATGTTCCTATGATTACGTTTGTCATGGTCTATGGGGACGGGGGTGACCTAACATTTCGTGAATAAAATTTTCACCAATGACGAAAGTCTTATTAGCGAAATTCCGAGGATCCGTATTTTTACCACTGGAGTTATCAGATCAAAAGGCTATAAATCCGAATTTCAGTAACGAAAGTTCGGAATGTTTCTGTAAGAGTTTGAGAGAGTAGTTATTTAATGTTTATTACCTCCTTTTATTGAAATATGTTTTTTTTTCTATCAGTATTTTATGTAAAAACTGTTAGTAAGATAGTGTTTCCTTTCTTCGTCAATCTCACTTATTCATCTAACATAGACGGAATTGTTTATTCAAAAGGCTTGCCTATATACTTCAACACTCATTTTAGATCATGATTTTTTTTTTACAAAAAAAAAATTTTTTGAACCTTATAAAGAAGAAAAGCTGCTTGAATTTGTTGAAAATGTAATAATCGTTTTGTTAATGGTAATTGTTTTTGTATTTCATCTATTTGATGTCTAATATGATCAAGTCTTGTTTCATATTCTCTCGATATACGTAATAAATATTGATAATATATTGTTTGTTCAATAATTTTAGGGGTGTAAATGATTTGAACGTTTTTCTAAATCATGATGATGTTTTAAATAAGGTTGACGTGTATGATGATCTAATTTATCATATAAAATATTTAATTGACGACGTTTTTCATCGATTTGTTGATTATAAATAAAATATTCTGATAATTGTCGTGCATATTGATCAGTTGTAGATGGAACGTTGAATAGAATGACAAAGACGTTCCATTGTTAAATTAAATATATATATTCATATAATTTACATTCATTAAGATAAATATAACGAGAATGTTCACCTTGAAGTAAATATTGACGACGTTGATAAAACTAACGAAAAACAAATTTGTTTTGTTAAATATTTAATAAAAAGAAATAAATAGTTGTTCTTTTTTGAAAAGTTAATCATTGATTGAAGAAGATGAATTTCAGATGTTAATGACATAGAATAACCATCTTCAACGACACATTGTTTGTCGATGTTGTTTTAAATGTGATAAATCATATTGATATTGATATTGATCTAATTCTTGATTTTGCATCTATAGAATAATTTTTTAAAAACAAAAGAGTAAAAAATTCCTATGAAATAAATCTTACTCGTATAAAATGAATTTGTTCTTCAATTGAATCTTGTGTATTAATTTTTCGTTGTTTAAATCTATTTAATTTATCTTGTAATAAATTTATTTCATCGATAAATAAATGCCATTCACGTTCACGTTGACGTTTACGTCGTTCTCGTTCTTCATATTGAGTTTCAAATTTAATCATTTGTTCATCAAGTGATCTTAATGCATCTTCAATTGACTAAAATATAATAAAATATTTGATTTTTTTTTAATAATTATTTAAAATAGAAAAAAAACTAATTGATGTGCTCACTCTGCCAGGTGTTTGATAATGATGGTGTAGAAGTGAAGAAAGTTTATTAAATTATTCTTGATAAGTACGATGTTTACGTTGTTGTTCATCTACATCCTATTATAAAAGACGTTATATAGATGGATTTAGGTTAATAATAAGAAATCAAGAAAAAATAATATAATAGAAGAAAATATTTCAATAATTAACTAATCAAAGTATTTTTACTATTTGAGATATAACAATTTTATATTTTCATATAAGTTTAATTTTTTATCTAATGTAGATAGATTATCATGCGTGTGTCTATTTTTTTTTTCTAGAAAGAATCCAATTTTTGAAAACTTTCAATAGTATAATAAGTATGAAATTCTACACATGCATTACTAATAAATTTTTTTTGTTTGTCATTATCTTACTTTGATTGTTTTATTAATAAATGTTGTTCGAGTTTCAAGTTCTATAATTGTTTCAGCAAAACCTTCTTTTAAATGTTCAATTTCTTGACGTAATCTTTGTAAAGTATCATTTGGTAAATTTGAACTAAAAACAAAAAAAAAATAAAATGTTATTAAATTTTCTAACCCTAATTAATAATTTCAACGCTTCGAATTCATGAATTTCCGGTCGGAAAACTCCGGAACAATGGTAGAAATTCAGTGATAATCGTATATAGCACTTTTTTCTTGAGCTTAGATTCCTGTTCGGAAGTTTCTACCGTTTTTCCAATGGAAACAAGGCGTATTTGTTAACCTAATAAATGACAATATTATCCTTCTAACCTATTGATATTTGGTAATAATAAATCCATATAATGTGATTTTTCATGAATAAGTTGACGTTTGTTCAATAAAAGGTGCATGTTATCGTTGAAGTTAATCTAAATGACGTTTATCAGTTAATGGTTCATATGTTATGTGTTTGTTTAAGCCATTCAAATAAGAATTCAATACGACTACGATAATCTTTTTGTTGTTGATTTTGATTTTCATATTCGTTTAAATTAAAAAAAAAAGAAAAAAAATCAAATTACTTTAACATAATTTGATTTTTGAAGAATTTACTTCTTGTTTTCGAGTTCGATTTGTTTTTATTCGTTGAATATTTCCAATTAATTGTTCTATTGGTATTGATATAAATTGAACAATTTGTGGATAATCATCTATTAATGAATTTATAATTTGTTTTCGTTTATCTAATTCAATTTCTATATCATTTAAACGTTGTCATTTTTCATCAGTTGTTAATCTTTGTTCAGAGATTGTATCATATGTTCGTTGAATATTTTCAAGCCATTGTTCATAAAATAAATATTGTTTATTAAATTCATTTAATTAAAAATGGATTTTTTGACTTAAATCTAAACGTTGTTCAAGATTTTCACGATAAGTTGTCATTTCATTTAAAAGTCGATCAACTTCATTAAGCTGAAATATATCAAATAGATATTTAGTATGAATGAAAACCCGAAAAAAAAACGATTCATGTCATTAGATCTTTCTTTATGAGTTATGCTTGTTTTACTGAAGAATATGCAGAATATTACGACAGTAACAAGTAATTACCAACTGAAATTTTTCAGTAATAGATTTCAATAAAATGAGCATAACTCGAAGATAATGGAACGTATTCTTTTCGAATTTTTATTCATACTACGATTTCTATTTATGAGCAAAATATGAGTTCAATAGGAGAATGCTAATTGAGATTTTCTTTTTAGGTATGATACAAATAAATTCTAGAATAGTTTTCTCTAGATCGGGATCAAGACTAATAAAAGAGAAACTACCAGGACCGAAAAACCTTGGTCCTGCACCAGCGTTGGAACCGAGCCGGTAGAGATCGGAATTTCACCGATTGAAAGTTCTGAAAAATCTTCTTTGTTAATACTGTTTTCAACCATGAAAACTAAGGTGTCACATGTTTTTTCTGTCAGAATGCGTAAAAAAGTGCTCAAAACATATGTTATATTAATCGTTTTTCTCTGAGGTTCTCTTTAAAAAGGTTGATTATGATGAGTGTCTCTTACATGCGCCTTAAACTATTTCATATTTGGAGCTATTTTTCTAAAAATCGGTTTTCAAAAAAACATTCGACATTTTTCCACCGGTTTTTTAGCCGGTTTTCACCGGTTGGACATGTGATTCCAACCGGCCGGACCGGACCGGTTTATCATTTCTCAACCGATTTCAATCCTGTCCTGCACATCTCTATCTAGGATACTACTATTTATTAGCTGCAATATTCTATTTGTTTTTGCTTGTCACGATCTACGATAAAAATTTTTAAGTAACTTTTTTTTTTTGTATTAATGAAAATAAGTTTATCTCAGCTAAATTTTAATGTGTATCTATATGATGTTTTTCTCTAAAAATTGTTAATGATTATTGTGTCATAGAAACAATCTATTGATTGTTTTTTATATAGTTTTTGTGAAGCTTCTGGTGTTCGATTTGTTTGAACTAATCGATTAAGTCTATTTGTTAATCGTTGTAAATCTTCTAAAGAAGTTTGATATTCAAATAAAATATTTTTTCCTTTTGGAATAAGTTTATCAAATGTTTCAACATTTCTTCTATTAGTTAAATCATTAATTAATATTCGTGTTTGTTTTAACCATTGTTCACAATTTATATTAATATAATGATATAATTCTGTAAGATTTTTCATTTCTTCCATATTTTCTTCTTCATTCATTAAATCTTGTTCAAGTTGTGTCGATCGACGTATTATTTCATTAAGACGACGTCTTACACGTTCACGTTCATTTGTATAAATTAATTGTGATGATAATGTTGATGAAAGTAATTGTAAACGATCGATTAATGAACGATTTGTTTGCATATCATTTGTTAAATCGTTTAAAAGAAAACAAACAAGAACAGTTTAATTTATTTTGTTTAAAGATTTCTTATATTATACTTTTAATAAATCTAAATTTTGTCGAAGATCAATACCATGTGATTGTTGTGTTTTAGTTTCAATTATTTCAATTATTTTTAATGTATTTTCCAATAAGATTTTCATATTGATCACGTATTGTATTATAATCATTTAATTCTGATAGTTTTTCATTAAAACGTGCTTTTACTTCAGTCATATCTTGAATAATAGGTGTAATCATTTTATCTAAATCATCCGATATATTTCCATATAGACGTTTATAATTCTTTAATGATTGTTCAAATAATTCATAATTTGTTGTTAAATCATCATCAATTTTCTATTAAAAACAAAAAAAGAAGAATTGATTTTGAATTTCAAAAAAAAAACAAACTTTAAGTTTTTGATCAGGTTCATCATTTATTGTTGGACGTAATTCAATAAGTTGAACTTTCATACGTTGAATTATTGATAACATTGTACGAGCATTTTGACGTCATTTTTCTTGTTCTTGAACTTGTTAATCAAGATTTTCAATTGTTTTTGTTGTTTCATTTTTTAAACTAAGATTTAAATAATAAAAAAAAAATTAATAAAACAAAAGATATTTGTTTATTTAAATTACTTTAGAAGATCTTGTAAAATATCTTCTTGTTTTTTTTCTAATGAACGAATTATTTGTTGATCACATTTTCTTTCAGTTAATGTTAATATTAAATCATTCACTTCAGATAAATGTCATGTTTCCAAATCAACATCTTTGATAAAACTCTTTAAAAAAAAAAGAAAGAATTAAAATATGTTTTATATGTTGCAAATTAGAGCTGATCGAGTTGCGGCGGGCTCTATTGCAAACAATATTTTGTTAAAACAGAATATGAAAATTATACAAGAAATGAAATTAGTTGAATATTTTCTCACAGCGAAACCATCCGAAATTGATACCTGCTGTTTTTTCTTCTCGGGAAAAAGTAATGTTTAAAAAACTTTTCTAGATAATTTTTACGAAAAAAAAAACGTTTCGAATTGTTCGTTAAACAATAGAATCATATACTTTCATGTCTATTGATCGTCTAGTTAAATCGATATTACCATAACCACTGTCGATACTTTGATGTAATTCTTGTCGTTTACGATTTGTAAAAGTTTTGACTTTATTTAATATTTTTTCAATACGATCTCGAATAGTTTCATTTTCCTAAATAGAAAATTTTTAAATTTTTTATTTTCAAAACAAAAATAAATGTGGAAACCTCGGATTTAAATCCGAGAGTTATGTGTACTGAAGAAAAGTGAATGAGACAGATGAGTCACGCTAGAATGTGTGGACAACAAAATTGTCCTGGCAAACCCTTTCTGTAAACACTTTATTTCTATTGGCTATTGCTCAGCCAATACGATTTGGAGGCAAATACAGAGAAGATTTCAACTCTTCCCCTTGATTTACCCTAACGAAACTCGTTTTTCCTATAACTTGATTTCTATTGGTCACCGCTCAACCAATGGGATTTCGAGGCGAATGGAACACAGATTCGAGTTCTCCATTCTAGAAAACCTCGAACTATCATCTCTATGATGGGAAGATAGAGCTCTAATTGTGGATCACATAGAGCGTGGACAAAAACAGAACCGAATTCCGTTTAATTATCTTTGCAATAGGCGAGTTAGCTTTCTTGTTTCTTTATGTTTTATATACTATTTTGTAGCTCGTGAAATTCTCTATCGAATGGTATATAATAGTTGGGGTTTTATTTGACTATGATAGGAAAAGTTTTTTACGAAAACAGAGAAGGGTCTATCTTCTCATAGGGAAAAATGACTATTTTTGCAATAACTCAGCAATGGTTCGGCCAATCCTTCTCATCTTCTTCTCTCGACCGAGATATTGTTAAGACTGAACTGTGTAGAAAATTTCATCGCAATCGGACTCTCCTTTCAAAAGTTATCGTGTAAACGGCCGGCCGGCCACACTGACCGATTCTAGAGTGTACTCACTTTTTGAGTACACAAAAAAAGGGTTAGGTTTTCAAGATTTTGATTGTCAAAAGTTGGTTTTTATGGAAAATAAGTATCATATTCAGAATCAGCATGTAAAAATATTTTCGATCAAAATTTGGCCCTGTAAGGGGTACAGACAAAATTTCAGAAATAAAAAGCTTAGGGGGAGTAGGAGGAAAATTTTTGTAGAAATATTTTACAATTAAAATTAACGTTTTTGGTGTATTTTTTTACGCTGATTCTGAATATCATGTTTATTTTTCAGAAAAATCAATTTTTGATAAGTAAACTCTCGAAATATTAACCGTTTTTTGTGGTATTTTCTATGGAAATTGACTCGAAACTAAAATATCGATTTTTTGCGAAAACTAAAAAAGTCCACGAAATGATTTCGTGATGTTGTATCCTCACATCAGTCTCAATAAAAAAATAATTAAAAGGAAAGAAATCGAACGGGGGGGGGGGGGGGGGTATAGCCCATGGAAAAAACGCTACTTCCTTTAATGTTTGTGGCATTTTTAAGTTGATTGAAACACTGTTTTCTGCATGTTTTTACTAGACATTTTGATATAATTCGATAGAGTTCAGAGACCGAAAGCCGAATAGAATCTAGCTAGGATTTTTTTGAAGACGGTCAGATCGCATCGAATCCAAATCGAGATTTTCTTATTCGTTTCAGTCTCTGTCAGAGTTCGACCAGCTCTACAAGAATATGAGTATGGAAGAAATTTTCGGCTTTCTTCCTAATACAAAATTTAGAAAAAATAATAAAAATTCCACATATTTTGCATTAAAGTCTGCTTGAGTTTCAATAACTCTGGTTGATCGAATGCTAATTTTGTTTTGAGGTGCAATGTTACATACTGGAGCTGAAAATAACATTTTTGAGCTTCATAAGAAGACAAAATAGTCGACAAGCATATGCTGAACGTTCACCACACTCTAATGAAAGATAAAATTTTTATTATTTATTCATATTCTTGTAGAACTTGCCGAACTCTATCGAAACCGTATAAAAATACCTGGAAAACGATATTACAGTTCGGACATTATATGCATATGTTGTTTGTACAAAAAATGTAATGTGTTAAAAGTTTAATCATCATAAATAAAACGGTCCTAACTTTCCTTAACTACGACACAATTTCAACATTTGTTTTTCAAATGATGGCATTCACATTCTCTACAAAACTATATATTTCAATTAACTATCTGTAGATATATTCGTATAGATAATGTCATTTTACAGAGAGGAACCGAAACTTTTGAATTACCATTTTATAACAGTTATTTATTGTTTTTTCAATTATTCATATGTATCTTGATTTCTTTTCCATTCTTAAGTTTTCAGTGTTGATCGTTCTCGTGCTTAACTTTCCTCACGCTAAATTTTTCGTGCGCTTCTCATTCCCATACTAATTATTCGCATGCTTATTGTTTCCGTGCTTAACTTTCTTGTTCGCATCTGTAATAACATAATCATTTGATCTACAGTATGTATAAATCAATAGTTTTTGACAACTTATGTTCACTAATTAAACTAAAGGATTAAATCACCTGCGAATAAAATATATAAGATAAATTAATGTTTTATCGTCAGCGATAATTAAACACAATTATAACGGGATTTCATCAATTTCTCGAAACATTGAAAAAAATAGACTTTATCATGTTTGTAATGAGAGGAGGGCAGTACGGGTCTTTGGTACTATCATATTCATGTAAGCGATTAATTACACGAATAATAGTTGCGTAATTGACTATACAAAATTGAATTACTCATTTATTAAAGATTTGAATAACTTATTCTCATTATTCAGGTTTGCCAATCGAATGTACAAGCTACAATGTTAGTGGTGATGCTACCCGTCGTGTTAACTCAGCCAAAGGTAATTTTTGTGATCGTGATATGGTAGGGTGGATACGTTTTGTCGATCGAGCTGGTACTGTCATCGTCAGAAAAGCTCCCAACGGCCGTTGTGGTAGTTTAAAAGCTGGATGGATACTTGGCGTCTATCCGACAGAACCTGGAACAACGTCACTTAGCACTTTGTGTTACGTCGATGAGATTGGTAATCCTTGTTCATCATCTAAACCAATTCGCAGCACACATTGTGGTGATTTCTTAGTGTTTGAACTACCTGATCCACCAACTTGTCCTGTATGCGCTTGTACAGATGACTACGAACTTCATTAAACATGATTCATATATTATTGATGTCATATGCATTGACTAAATTTAATAACTAGCTATCATATTTCACTTCATTCTTAAATACATCATACAGAGTGAAACCTACGATATCGTGACGTGCGACTATGATATCAATATATTTGAAAAAAAAACGTAGATAATCTTTCATATTATTTGTTCACGATTATACAGATATAAAATCTTTATTGGATATCCACAGAAACATGTATTAAATAGTACAAACGACTATTTGGGTGTGGGTGTGGATGTGTTGAGATACCACAAAACTAAAGTTTTTCGAATTTACTTACAATTCTTATCAAGTGACAAGTATCTGTACACTCTAAAAAAATAGGTATCCTCGAAAACCCAAAATGTCTATTATAGGAAAAAACTCGAATACTCATTCGGAAACACAAAGAAAAAGTTTCCGAATGCAGGAGAAACTTGACCTAACTGGACCACCCTAGAAGCCATCACTATTTTACCACCAGCATCAAGCATTCAAAGCAACTCCAGATTCTCCACGAGGCACTGCTGTAAATCTATTCGCGTCTAGAAATAGCTAGAACCACTATCTGAAGTGGATAACATACGAGACTCACAAAGAAATGTTGATTAGCCTGCCGCCCAACCTTTCACCGATACCAAACCAATAGAGACTAAACGTTACCAACTTCTAGACCTAAAACACGAACAAAAACGAAAATTTTTCCTCGAAACATTACATGAACTCACCAGCTGTCTTAATGCGAAAAGCCATCAAAATTTATAAGCATTTATGCAAAATCTAAACCAACAGTGCGTACCCATAATAGTTACTAAGCCAATGTCATCAGCTCACAAAACCTAACACTGCAATGCGGACCTAAAAAATCAAAATGAAAATGCATCTCCATCAATACACGAAACAAATCTAAAAGTATTAAATTTCATTTTTGTTCAGTAATTCAAATTAACTCGCCAGATATATTTAAAAATAAAGTGATTCTAAAAATAACAAAGAAATATTTACTTTCGTTAAGGAAGCGCTTCAAAATATATTCTGGTCGATCAGCCATTATTCATTAATTCCTTTTTTTTTACTACTTCGTTATTGAATTATTCCCATATTCCTTCCCTGTTCCTCCACTATGTCTCTGTTCTCTTATTTCCAATTCCTTCATCTCTTCGCATCTTCAAAGATGATTCGTTACTCTTCGAAAGTATTCATCATGCATCAATATATCGATTGCAAATCACAATAAGAAATGTCCATTATGTGTAGACAAATTTTAGTGTGAGACTATACTCTAAAAAAAATCCGTTCTCTAGAAAACCAAAAACCGTTCGAGAACCCATTCGGAAACTCTCAGAGGTTTCCGAAAGGGTTTTCGGTCTCCTGGAGCGTTTATGAAAACACTTTCATGGTTTTCGAAAATACCGATTTGGACACCCTAAAAGTATTTTCGGATACTCTTATGGTATATTTAATATTCTAATTGGTATTTTAGGAAATCGAAAAGGTATCTTAGGAAACCCATATAGTCGAAAAAATTCATTTGGTATTCGAAGAGGTATCCGAAAATACTTTTTCGGTTTCCGAATTGTTTTTAATCTTGCGAACTTCGAAGAAGTTCCAATAAACTCCAAAACAATTACCACAAAAATTGGAGAATAATATTTGATGAAAATTTTTCGACATCCGGGAACCCGAATCTATAAGTAGTATGCCGTAAAGCAACAAGCAATCGTTATTTCTGAAAAATAGGACTTCTTTAAGGAAAATACGAAGTACACAATTTTCGAAAACCAATTACAGATTCGAGTTCCTCGACTCCGAAAGGCTTTGATCAAACTTTAAACAAAATCGTTGTTTTCGTAAAATAGACTTTCTCTAACGAAGAAGCTCAAACTCAAAATTTTGAGAAACCATTTATAGGACTTGTCAAAAAAAAAGTTACTTTAAATACCTGCTATAGAAAATAACTATTAAGTATTTCACAGAAAAAGTACGTTTAAGCGGTAATTGCGCAATCTCAATTTGAATCAATTTATAGGGGAGTTTCAAACATACATGTTTACATGCAACTTTCGTCTAGTGGTTTATATGCCCGGTTTCGAATTCGAAAATGTGCAAAAAAGTTAGCGTTCGAATCCACCCTTCGGCAAAAAACTTAATAAGGCTCCAAATTGAAAAATAATATGACAGTGTAAGTAATAAAACATAATATTGAGAGTAAGTAATAATAAATGCGGAAACTTCGGATTTAAATCCGAGAGTTATGTGTACTTCAAAAAGTGAATCAGACGAATCAGCCATCCTAGAACGTGTGGACATCAAAATTATACTGAGGAACCTACCCTCTAAACTGTTGATTTCTATTGGGTATTGCCAAACCAATAGGACTTGGGACCGAATACAGAGAAAATTTGAACTCTTCCCCTTGATTTACCCTAAGAAAGTCGTTTTTCCTATAACTTGATTTCTATTGGTTACTGGTCAACCAATGAGATTTCGAGGCGAATGGAACACAGATTCAAGTTCTCCACCCTAGAAAACCTCAAACTATCATCTCTGTGATCGGAAGATAGAGCTCTAATTGTAGATCACATAGAGCGTGGACGAAAACAGAACCGAGTTCCGTTTAATTATCTTTGCAATAGGTGAGTTAGCTTCCTTGTTTCCTTATGTTTTATATACCATTTTGTAGCTCGTGAAATTCTCTATCGAATGGCATATAATAGTTGGGGTTTTAATTGACCATGATAGGAAAAGTTTTTAAGGGAAACAGAGAAGGGTCGATTTTCTCATAGGGAAGCATAGGGAAAAAAATCAGTATTTTTGCAATAACTCAAGAAGAGCTCATCCAATCAGGCTCATCTTCGAACTCGACTGAGACATTGATGAGATTGAACTGTGTAGAAAATTTCATCACGATCTGACTCTCCTTTCGAAAGTTATCGTGTATACGGACGGACACACTGACCGATTCTATAGTGTACTCACTTTTTGAGTACACAAAAAACAGGTAAAATAGAACCTATCGTCAGTACTCAAGGTTTAACTAGTCAACGTTTCTTGAAATATTTTACTTATTTTCGAAACTTATTTTTTTCTTTTTGTTTAATTAGAATTAGAAAAAAATGATTGATTTTCTTCAGAAACAACCAATTCACCAACAAATTAAAGTCGAGAATTACGAACGATATTAAAAATCATCTCATAGATATCGTGAACAAGAAGGTCTTAGTTAAAAAAAAAGACAAGATATGTGTTACATATTGAACAACAAATATATCAAATCGACATTTTAATAATATTGTAAGATCAATTGTTAAATAAAACGACAATAAAATCTTCTTTAACAAAAGCAAACATTTATTCGAATAAATACAGTTGAAAATAATTAACGATATAATTATCTTATAGATTAATTTACATAAAAAAGAACGAACAATTTTTGTCATTGTGTTAAAGTTTGTTTGCTTTTTCTAATCGAACACCTATTTTATTTAGTTGACCAAAATAAAATCTCATCAATCCAATAAGATAACTCATTTATCCAAAAAAAAGAAAGTTTATATTGAAATTAGTGATGATGATCATTTTATAACGATAGTAAAACATCCTAAACTTATTGGTCAACCAAAAATAAATTCTATTCGAAGAAAAAAACGATCCAATTAAAGAATGTCTTCAATCAATAATAATAGAAACTTTTATCCAACGTTAACTATTATTGTTCAACCTCAACAACATGTTAATCGATCTATTGAACGAACCTCATATTATAAATGTATGTCATAGAGAATTGCTCCATTTAATTCCTAGTTTCCTACGATAAGAATTGATTTTCAATACTAAAAGTTTTAACTGACGAAGAAACTGCTTGAATTGATTCATTGTTTTTGAATTCCCTTTTCTACCATCAGTTCGAGACGTTAAGACTAAAATATTTATGGAATGAATTCGGCTCATGTAGTACTGATCGTTGAGTTGTGTTCGTTTTTAATCAGTGAGATTTTACCATAAGATATAGATAGACCTTATTCAAATGTAATAAAAATATCGTCAAAAAGGAATACGTCTTTGTCCATTTATTGGATTTTCAAAAAGTAGTCACGTTTCATAGTAAACGACACAATAAGAAAATACTTCCTATATATATTCTATCGATAAAGATAGATTTGTTTTTACTAAAAATTTAAGAGTATTCAAACATAATCTAGTTCTATTATCGATAAACTCTTATATACAGGTATTTTATGTATTGAACTTTCAGACTCTTTGGTAAAAACAGGAGCTTAAAATTCATGAATAACTTCGAGCAACTCCATCGTTTGAAGATGAAGGAGAGAATATATTCGATTTGAGAGAATGTCTATCATGTAAATCCTAATGAACTCTCAATATCCAAGAAGAGTTGTGTGCTCCTAGATTAATTCTGATGAACTATTTCATTTTTATGGCATTTATTCATCATAATAGTGTCATCTTTCTTTGGATTACTTCGAACAATTGACTTTGAAATTCTTACCTTGAATATTTGCAGAGGAATAATCCTGAATGAGACTAGTCTATTATGAAAATTTTCTATTTTCAACTTCCTTCTATTCCTATATATCAGTTTAAGAAAAAAATCTTACTTTTTACGGCAATCATTACATAATAATTGTTTTATTTTCATATTTTTCTATAGGAACAACCAAAAAAAAAAATAAAACATCTTCAGAATAGACTAATCTCATGAGGAATTAAAGTTGTGTGAAGTGATATTGAGAAAGATCCTAGACATAAGATATACTAAATAGAAATATTCTAGGTCCACGAACTCTTTTTAGGGTTATGAGAGCTGATTAGGACCTAGATTATACATATAGTCTTGACTCGATCGTCAAAATAACATTTGTCAACTTTTTCTCGTAAGTAATCCATGAAATGGTTCTATTCTATCATATTCCCTATTTATTTTATTTCAATTTCAGTTACATATGTATCTCGAAGATGAAAAAATCGTATT